GCGGAATCTTGTAATTACTCAACTACGCGGAGAAAAATAATTTGCTGACACGGCAAATTTTATGCCTTCGGCGGGATCTATCGGTAACTATGTGATGAACGGCAAAACGATTTGTTTGAACGGTTGTCATTAGCTGGATATATTTCGCCGCACTGAAAAATGAGTTCGGTTGGATCTATCTGATAGTAGACGATCAAATCGCTTTATGATCGAAAAAAAGAAGGAAATCTCTAGTTCTCATAAACTAAATTTGGTTCTTATATTCAGAAATTCTATTTTCTTCAACCAAAAGACGCTTAGTTGTCCATTGTCTGGTGAACCCAACCAAACTCATATTTCTCAACGTGAATCTTCAAATTATCTCACTGTAAGAACAAATTGATCAATATAGTCAAACATATTGTTCTAATAACACATTAACGTGTCCCAAGGACAATTTCATTCGGCAGAATTTTTCCACTCCGCCAACCAAACCGTTTTTGCTCCGATTCCGAATAATTCGTTCATTTGGTTATGTCAAGTAAATTTTATCGCTGTCGCAAGGAATATAGCGTAGCGGTAATGTTTCGTCACAACAGCAAAATTATTTTTCCTCGTGCATTTCATTTGGTTACGTCTACCGCAGTTTGCACCGCGTGAGCAGCAGGAGGAACTGTCTCGTCGAGCAGAAATATTATTCGAGGGCCATCGAAAGCGGCGGCGAGCGATAAGCGCGGGTCTCAAGCGAACACGTCACCTTAGTGCTTCCCTGTCACTTTTAATTTACTAAGCGGATGCGAATTAGTCTCCCGGTTTGCAGCGCTGCTAATCTGACTTATGATCCCATCGTACGATCGCGGTTACAGGCTTGGTTAGTAGTGCGCTGAGAAAAAAAAGCGATTGAGTCGGCAAAACCGACGTGCGCTCTCATTCGAAGAAAATATCGTGTTCATCGAACAGATTATATTTTGACGCAACAGCACGTCGCATTGATATAACTGCTGATCAAATTGCAATCTTTGAATCAATTGATAATTCATTACAGCAACTGTACAATTTGTTCGATTGACTAAACATTGTGCTTAAAAAATGTTGTTCCTTTAAGCAAAATTTTGCTGGATCTACTGTTTTTTTTTCTCAGCGCGACGATGCCGTGTATAGCAGTTTCATCAGAATCTCAACACACTGCTGACCGATTCTGAGTTATCTTGTACTTCAACAGAAATTTAGGAAGAAAAGAAGGCACGGCAAGCAGTATTGAAAATAATTAACGTTGAAAACACAGCCGATCGATAATGTGTTAATGTTTGTTGACTGAGAAATAAACGGTAAAGAGGAGCAAGCTCACGGTGTCGTACATAAGTTCGCAATTAAACGTAACATCGCGTCTATGTTAATTACGACTGCGAATAACTGCGACGAGACGTGTATCACTAAGCGTTTCAGAGTGCGTTTCGCCTTTTCAGTTACTCGCAATGTGCGGGCTGCTCCTTTTTCCTCGAAAAGCGTCAATTTTGTCTTAAAATTTCTGAATTGCCGTTGCAGTTGCGTTATTCGCTTCCACTCATTCGTATCCATGAGAACGATGAGATCGATAACGATCGCGACTTACCAAAGTGTTTTCGACGTGACCGTCGTGATCGATCCTCGATGGCAGAGGTCGAGAGAGGATATTCAGGATGGGAAACTAAAAATTTGCAAAACACAAGAAGAAAATAACAAAAAAGATAATGTTGATACAGGTTTATTTTAGACTAGAGCGCAAAAAATAATATAATAATAATAATAATATAATAATATAAAATAATAATAATTAATAGACAATAATAACTATATAATTATTATCATGATAATAATAATAATAATAATAATAATAATAATAATAATAATAATAATAATAATAAACTATATACATAAAATACCGTGGCGAAAGTGATATGTTACGGGTGTAAATAACATTGTACATGTACGCAGTGTACTTACGTAGCTGAAATGAATGAGTGGTATACGTTTCGTGTGGGTGAGGAAAGGAAAGCGAGAAGCGAAGCCACACCCTCGTCAGTTACGAATACGCGAAATAAAATAAAATAAATTCGAAGAAGAGGAGAAAGAGCGGGGAGGAGGGGGGGGGGCGAGAGAGAGAGAGAGAAGTAAACGGACGCGCACCGCCAGCTGTTCAAGGTCGAGACATCCGGTTCCGAGTCCGATCGGACGCGTGGGCAGAGACGAGAGCGTGATCATCACAAAGAAGATTCGTCATAAATAACTAACGAGCGCGCGCGCTCGCGCAACAAACCAAATAATAATTAATAGTAGTTACGGTGTGTATACGATCGACGTCGTCGTTGTCGTTGTTATTAATGGCAGATAAACGCGCCATGGCAAATGCAACGTAGCGACGACGGAACGAACGGATGGAACGTGCTTGTGTGCTGACGCGCGAAGGATCGTCAAGCTTAGGACGTAATGCGAGTACCGGCGAGTATCGGGGCGGCAAACGCGTACCCGTGTGTGAGCGAATCTGACGAGTTCGAGCACGCATCTGCATATACGTGGCAAAGCTCCGAATCGTTTATTCGTCACTCGCGAATATCAGTCCCGCCCGATACCGTTCGACGGATGCCGGGATGCAAGCCCGTGACGAGCCCGTGACGAGGACGAGCTCTCTCTGTCCAGGGGCCGTATTCCGGAGGCGTAGCGAGCGATAAATATGCACGTCTAACTTCACCAACGTGAACGTTTATTTTTTGCTTCACATGAGCGTCACGTATAGCGCTGATTCAGCCTGAGAATCGGAATACAGCCCCGGGTCCCGGATTCGAGCGAGGATCTGCGAAGTATTTACAATTTGCCGCGCTGAACGCGCGGCGAGAGAGAGAGAGAGAAAGAGAGAGAAATTAGGGGCTTCGAAGGGCGTGTCGAGTTGTTGGAATGGCTTCGCTAAAATAATGATGATAATTACAGGACGATGTGTGTCGCGACACGCGATAAGAGAACTTAAATATATAATATGTATCCTCCCTTTTCTCCTTCCGACTACACTACTACGCTCGATCGAGATACTCCGAGTAGAGACAAGGCTAAGCTTCATATGCGCCTATGATGTATAATCATAAAAAATAGTTTTAATATAATTTGGAAATATACAACGTGCGCTCCGTGCGCTTTCTCAAATGCACAGGCACAACTTTAGCTATCGATTATGAAACATCCGTCTCTTTAAGGAAAAAGAAAAAAAAAAGAAAAAGAAAGTGAATTCATTTTCTCTTAGCTCTTAGCACGTATTCTTCCCTTATTCAAATTATCACTCACTCTCTCCCTTTCTCTCTCTCTTTCTCTCTCTCTCTCGCTCACTCTCTCAGTCGCACACACTTACTTATTTTTAATTAATTAATTGCTTTTATTTTTACGCTCTTGCTAAAATATGCATTTCATAGGAACTTTCAGTATTGCGCTTAACTCTGGATATATTATTATTATACTCGGGCTATATATATATATATATATATGTATATATATATATATATAATTTTTTATATATATAAAATTATATATATCTTGACAAGTTCCAAACAAGCCGCAGTTAATTGGGCCCTCTAGATTATCACACAGGCCCGATTTTTATAATGATAAAGATAATAAAAACACACGAGATACACAAAGGATACGTACACAACATACAACGACGTAACGCCCGCAAGTTCGAAATTCCTTGTCGCGACGCTAGTCTAATAGTGGAACATCAGCGAGAACACGTACACTACAAGATCATTTATCGTGAGCTCACAACGGAAAGCGCACCGGTATTAATAGGGGCGAGACTTTTGACCGTAAGCTCTTTTTTTTATTATCTGCCATCATCCGCATTATCCGCCATCATCCGCAAATTGAGAATTTCGCTCTCAAACGCCGCTCTCCCCTTCCGGAAGGATATTTAAGAGAGACGAGAAATCCACTTCGTTCACCGATCACGAATTTCGAACCTAACTGGCGTCCTACGCTCACTCATGAGTCGGGATGGGATCAAGTTCACAGTATGTGCTCGTGAATCCCCGTCGATTCAACGGCTAAACATCATTTCGTTAAAACGGAATGGCATTCCTAAATATCACTATGACACGATTGTCCATGCAATGATTGGAGTATTAAACGATAAGTGATTAAATGATAAATGAATGACAAGACCGCGGTTATGAGCCATACCAAAAAGTGACCTAAAAGCCGTCGCGGCCTGGTGACCGGCGCGATATACCAAAGTGTCAAAAGCTCAGTGTGATCGAATTGATAAGGCAAGCAGACCTGAGTTCGAATTCTATCCGGGATGACACTCTCTTTTCCGTCAATCACTACCTCGCCCGCGATGGAGAAGAGGGGAAATTGTCAAAATGGTTAATAATTTAAAAGGTTTCAATTTTCATACGTCTTTAAATGAATAAAGTCGAGAGGGGGTCAACTTGGCGGTGAGGGCCGAAAGAGTTTCTTTAGGGGTGGCTCTTTGTGAGTGTCTCGTTCTTCAGATGCTTCATCTCTTTTCGAGCATACATAAATATATATTATTTATTATCCCGCGTATATATCCGTATGTTAACGAACGACAACAACAAAAAAAAAATACATAACGAGAATAATAGACAGGCGCGTTTTATTTACATCTTTTTAAATATCCGCCTTATTTAACAAATGAATTTCTTTCTTCCCCTTTTGTTTCTTCTTCTGAACGTCAATGTCACAGGTCGCGGCATTATCGCCTGCCGCTCGATTAAAGTATAAATATCACATAATATTTCCTCGTATCGTTGACACGAACTGTGCCAGAATAGATACGTAATTCAGGAATTGATTTCCCCTTTCTGCTCCGCACTCCGCAATATCATTTCCTCAGCGTTTCCGCGATGCTATATTTCGCAGTGCTCGTTAAAGCCTCAATTGTCAGATAGATTTTCCCGAGAGAAGTTAGTTTCGCTAGTTTACACTTGATCCCGTCCCTATTCACGAGTCTAAGAGGTCAGCCAGACACTCACCAGCCGTGGTCGTAGTTGTGCTCGTAGCAGCGCCTGCGGGGTGTTGCTGCTGCTGCGATTGGAACATTGCCGTGGGGTGGAGGAACAAGGATCCGTACATCATGTTTTCGTCCGCCTGCTGCTGTTGCTGCTGCTGGTTGACTTGCTGACTAACCGCGGCGACCACCGACGAGTTGCCGATGCCCGATACACCAACGGCGCCGCTGCCACCGGGCACGATGGGTGCTCCAGGAGTCGGTGGTACGAGGCTGCCTTCTTCAACGGCGACGCGCACCGACTCGATATGCCGCCGCGAGAAGACGTGTTCCTGAAGGGGAGTCTTGGCCGAATAACGAACCGAGCACAGCCTACACTCGTCGGGCCCGGTCGGCCCGCGATGCGGTTGCACGGCTGACCCTTCCGCCGGAAGACCCGCTGCTAGTCTGGCCTTCTTCTCTTTAGCACGAGCGTTCTGAAACCAGACCTGTGCCTCGGCCCCCGTTAGTCTTCTGCAAACCTCTGCGACGCTTTGATCGCGTTCGCGCCGCCACCGGTCGACTGCGCGGTTTTCTTCCGGAAAGTCAAAAACCGCGAACTCGATCGTCTCTTGTTTCAGAGACGTGAATTTTTCAACGGGTATGCCGAGCGATACGGAGGTGATAGAGGAAAAGCGCCAAAACTGACATAGATGTAACAAACAAACATACCCATGTTACTCGGCTGTAAAGTATTGAACTCTGTCGGATAGAACGTGAATTTCGTCCAGTGTGTACAGTGGTTGAAGCTGAGACGGTTCAGTTTCAGGAAAGTTTCGGTTTGCGAGCGTATTTCGTTGTATTATTAGCGTCGCTTGATTTTTCGTTTTGCCGAAGTTTTTGTTGAGTCTCTATCTTCTCGTGAAAATCAAAGTAACAAATCAGTGACAAATAATTTATTTGATTTTAGTGCTATTTTATAGTGTGAGTTTTGAACTTTCAAAATCAACTTGGATCTTGTGCCAATTTCTTTATCCTCTGTCACCGAACCACGCGAGAAAAATTAAGGTTGAAAACCTTAGGTTAAGTTGTTTTACAAACCGACGTATCAGAGTTCGCTAATCTTCAACTGGCATATCTGAACTTTGTTGTGAAATATTTTACAGAATACAATTGAAGCTACTGATGACTGATTTTCTCGTTTGTTTGTTTGTTTAAGATTGTCGGAAAGAAGAAGTCAGATGATCCCTTTCCACATGATAAAGGAATAATATTGTTAAACTTTTTAAATGTTAGAAATATGTAAGCTTAAAGATAATATATAAGAGGATATATAATAAATGTACAAAATATTGTAATATCTGTGCTAATATTTTATTTTTTTTTTTATATAATATCCTGTAGGTATTCATAGATATATCGATTTTGAGGTCTAGTTTCTAGCAGTATCGGTCCTTGGTCATCTTAAAAAATAATTATTTGCAAATAAATATATAATAATTTCCATAAGACTATGGTATATTTTGGTGTAGAAATATTGTTAGTTTGTATCCATGCATATAAAATTTAATTTTACTTCAACGGGGCTTTAAAAGTCGAAAAACAAACGTCGATTTTGATGCTTTTCCTTTAATAAAGACAATAAACCTGCATAGAAAATTTCTTGGAATTTCATTGAGATCTAGTCCGATTTGCCAAGATAATTATAGATTCTAATTGTGAAATTTATGTGAATCCTTGTTAGAGGTATAATGTTTCAAACATACGATCCTAAGTGGGAAACAGAATAGATTCTTGGTCGCCCGAATTTTCCGAAAGATTTTTCTGGTCTCCGTTTTACATTACGACTGAGCAAAATATACGAAATATTCTAAGTATTTACACTTTACAAGTACAAATATAGACGCTACGCGCGCGCTATCAAGCATAAAGCATAGCATAGTAACTTTAAAAATATATCTCTGTTTATTAACCTCCTAATCTGCTATTCGATCGAACTGTCACTCGACTCTGGTGATGAGTCGCACGCGGCACGAAGCGAGCCGCAGCGTACAGCCAATCAACATCCCGGAAAAGAGGCTTCGTCCTTAGAGTCCTAGATATAAGTAAAGAAGCACAATGGAGAAAGACAAATTTGATTGGCTGGAGCACATGTTAGACGCCATTTTCTTTGCCCACCACGACTAAAAACGTATTATGCGCCAATAAGTTGTAATATTTTTGTGATATACTTTCAGCATGCCGATAAAATTCAATAAAATTCTTTTTTAATACGTCAAGTTATAACGAGCAGCATAAATTATGCGGAGAGCATTCTCACTTAGACCAATTATCGAAGTTAATCTCTAGCAACCTAACCTTTCTTCCTTATCTCACTCGCTTGCTTCACGTATCACCGTGCGAAGGAAATGGCGGATTTTCGAAATATATCAAATTCAGAGTTGCGCTTCTCTATTTACACCTGGAACACCATTCGTCCCGTGTTTAAAATAAAACTGAGATTCCCAATTAGTATCGTAGTGGGATCACTTATTTTGGGATGAATTTTGGACAGTCTGATCGGAATCTATGCTGTACTTGGGAAAATGGTGAGAAATTTCTACGCAGGAACGACAGTCGTTACTACAAATTGAGGACTAAGCGGACGAAGGCATACACAGATCGGCGATGCTCACCTGAACGACTCGTTTGGGTAGGCCGATCTCGCGGCCGAGCATCTCGCATTCAGCCATCGTCGGCGTCTTGTAATCCGAGAAGAGCGACTTCATCACCTTCACTTGCGTGGCGGACATTTGCGTGCGATACCGTTTGCCACCGGACTGACTGGCGTTGCCGCCGGACTGGCCACTGGTTACCGGTGGCCCGCCCGCGGTATTCCCGGTGCTTCCGCTGGCAGGACCCTGCCTCGAGCTCTGAGTACTCGAGGCTGGACTGGCCGGTCCGCTCTCATCGTCCAGGAACTCCGTGGTCTCGCTCATGCTGTCCTCGTCGCAGACGCTGCGCTCGGACAGATCGGTAAGAGGGCCGCAATCGCTACCGCCACGGAAATGAGAGCTGTGCTGCTCCTCGAGGAGATTGCCCAAACCACCCAAACTAAGCTTCATCATCGGACGACTGAGGTCGACTGGTTTGCTCAAATCCAGAGGAGACTCGCCGCTGCTGGCCTGGTGATTCGACGTCTCCTGCTTGCCGTTGCTGGCGTGCGCCTGCAGCTCGCTGATGTATCGCTTCATCGACTCCTCGTAGTATCTCTTCAGGGAGGCCTCCACCTCGCTGGTGAACGGCGGGAACATCGGCGGCATCATGTTCGGGGTACTGGAGTTGGAGGGTGCCGACTCCATCGAGAGCTCCTCGTCCGGTATGTTGTCTATGTTGACCTCGCCGCGCGCCACTTGGTCGGCGTGCTTGCTGCTGAGGTGGGTCTCCAGCGCGGACTTCACCTTGAAGAGCGCCGGGCAGAACGGGCACCGCTTGTTGATCACCTGGCTGTGCGCCCGGAACTGGCCCTTGCGCTCGCGCGCACGGGTGTTCTGAAACCACACCTGCACCACGCGCTTCTTCAGTCCAACCTCCCGCGCGATCGTCTCGAGCATCTTCCTCGACGGGTTCGACTCCACCTGGTACTTCTGGTAGAGATAGTCCAGCTGTTCCGGCAGTATCGTCGTGCGCAGACGCTTGTCCTTCGGCTGCTCGTTGTGCTCGGAATTCGAGCGGTTGTCGCCGGGCGTGCTCTCCTCAAAATCGTCGTACTTTCTCTTGCGGTCCTGCATCAGACTGATGAGAGGATGCGAAGGTTCAGCCGCGACTCCGCTGGTAGCGTTGAGAGCCTGCTGCTGCAGGATCCCAAAGGGCGAGTCGGGCGGGTACGACGGCGGGAATAGGGACGGGTTCATGATATGTACCAATTGATGTTCGCGCCAGAGATCGAAGCGTCCGAACATCAGGTTGCACTTGTCGCATTGAAAGCTACCTTCTTTCGACTCGGTCTGCGACTGTTGCTGCTGCGAGGGCGGCGGCTGCTGCGCCGGCTGTTGGTGGGCCTGGGTCTGCTGCTGATGGTGCGGAGGTGTCACGGTGTTCAACGACTGCTGCAGCTGCTCGGCGAGCGCCGACACCGTCGACGGGTTGCTACCGGACACCGTGTTGTTCGCCGTGGTGGTGGAACTGCTGTTGCTGTCCTCCGAGCTGAGAATCGCGGCGACTTGGGCCGCCGCGGCCTGAGCCTGGGCGCTCCTCTTCGCGTCCTCCTCCTTGAAGCAGTGCGACTTCTGATGGCGCACCAGCTCGTAGTACTTCTGAAATATGAGCAGGCACTTCTTGCACTGGTAGGTCGAGCCGGTCTTCTGAAACCTACCCGGCACGTTGCCGCCGCTGCCGGCGGCCCCACCGTCCTCGTTCTCGCGGCCGCCCGGTATCACGAGCTCGGGCGCCGGTTGATTTTCGTAGACCTTGCGCGCCTTCTGCCGGGCGTTCTGAAACCACACGACGATCACGCGCGGGCTCAGGCTGAGCAGCTTACTCAGGTACTCCAGGTCGTCGTCTTTCGGATACGCGTTGTTCTCGAAGAATTCCTGCAGGACCTTGATCTGATAGTCGGTGAATCTCGTACGGTTGGCGCGCTTACCGGAGTTGCTGCCGGAGGAGTTGCTGCCGTTGCTATTGCCGACGAAGGAGTAATCGGTCGGGCCACGGCCCGGGCTGAGGGACCTCTGCGGCGTCAGCGCCATCGCGGCGATCGAGCCCGGTACGACACCGGCCGCGGCCGGTGTTGGATTCGCGAAGTTCTGCGGCGTCACTTTCGGCGGAGGTAACATCGGGCCGCTCGGGGTGCTCGACGGAGCGTGGGAGGAGACGTCGTGGTGGATGCCGGAGAACACGGAGCTCATGCTGAGGGCGGGCGAGTGCGGTCGCGATTGTTGCCCGCCCGAGCTCCCGGGCGAGTGGTGTTGCTGCTCCTCTTGATGCTGTTGGCACTGCGCCGGTTCGGACGCCTCCTGCTTGATCTCGGCCGCCTGTTGCTGCTGTTGCGAGGTGCTCACGTTCGGCATCGGCGGCGGTGAGGCCTGTTTGTTCGGGCTCTTGTCGTCGGAGGAACTGCCGCCCGACACGCTCGAGTTCAACGGGGTCACCTTCGCCTCGCCGGTCTTCTCGTATTCCTCGAGGTTCAGAGTGGTGCTCGGCGGGTTGTTAAAGTTGTACGGGCTGTCTTTATTGCGCTGCCGCTCTTTGAACAGCGTATTGCGGAACCAATGTTTGATAACTTTCGGCGGCAGACCGCTCTGAGCAGCCATCTCTATAATCTGTTCCTCCCCGGGCGAATTGTTGATGTCAAAATGCGCCCGCAAGATCTTTAATTGTTCGTCGGTGATACGCGTGCGTGCACGTTTTTGCGATGCCGCGGCGTTCGCCTGCAAGAGTAAAACTACTTTACTCCCGTTTTCTACGCGACCGGAACTCTCCTTTCTTCCTATCGGTTCGTTTTATCGTATCTCTCACACACCCTTTACGCGTTAAGCTTCTTTATTCTCGTGAGTGTGATACACCGAGTCTCTCTCCGAGAAGAAATTCGCTACTCTTACTTTCTATTACATCCCTACTTTTCGTGATTCAGCGAAAGGAAGAAGTTATTACTCGGCGAAGGAGTAATGAAATTTGCAGAAATCGTGAAAGATTCATCAACGATCGATCGATCTTTACTGCCTCGCGAGAAATCTCCAGGGTTGCACACAGAAAAATACGTACTGCAGATAAGTAGAGGTTACTCGTTTCAAGTATTTCGTAAGTTGACAAGCTCGCATATTCGTTATAAGCATCGAATCTATTCCAAATATGTTCAAAATCTTAATAAGTTTAGCACTTCAATCAGGAATATTAAAGTAAAACTCGAGTTGTTTATTTAAATTATCCGAACCTAATTTATGTCACTTCGAAAAAATTTCATAATATTCTTGAGAAAAGAATAAATTCTTCTTTTGAGTACGCGATGGATGAGCTTCTCTAAAATTTTTGATGAATAATATTTCAAGACTATTATTAAGAAAATATTCTTTATTGAAGATAACCATTATTTAAAAGAGGGAAAATAAACTAAGTAATCGCTTCTCTTAGCAGTAGAATGATATTTTGTGTGTGTGGGAAATAATTCGTTACTTGTGACGACAAGTTACGTTCTTCAATAATGATCTTGGTAACGACATTATTTTTTCCATTAGTAACGATAATGTAATAACATTTTTATCTACGTAATTATATTTTTTACGATGACGTATATAATTGTTACCTTTATCGCGTTACTTTGTAGAAAACATATATTCGGACAAGGCAAAAGAGACTTTCGAAACCTTGAGGAAAGGAAACAAGAAGGAAGAAAAAAGTTACGGAAATTGCAACGACTTCTGAAATAACAATAACGATAACGAATTACACTTCCAAAAGTAACTTTTCCAACCCTGGGGAAATCTCGAAGTAATTTGAAAAATAGTCTCGACGAATCGCTTAATGCGTTTCTACGATCGATGTTTCTACCATCACGCTTTAAATCTAATTGACGACTAACTCAACGGAATTGACCGATCATATTGGCCAATTAGCTGATCAATGCGACTGATTAATTCCGTTGAATTAATCGCCGATTAGATTTAAACAACGATGCTACACAAAGAAAAATATCATTTTGCTAATAAAAAAGCAATTACTCACTTTACTTTCCTTCATCTGAGCGTAATGGTTACTTCAACAAAGAATATTTTCTCGGTACCAGTCTTCAAGAATACACTCATCACAGAGTTTCGAAAAGCTCATAGTCATATATGCTCATAAGAAAAATGTATTCTCTTTAAGAATATTATATAAACTTCATCGAGGAAAAGTAAAATTCGCTTAATTCGAAATCAAAGCAAACGGAGGTTTGTTTTAATTCAACATTCTTAAGTGAAGTACTAAACTCTCACTAGGATTCGTAAGGTACTTTGAATCGATGCTTACGATGTGACTTGCGGTAATACAAACTTATGGAAAAGAAAGAGAAGAAAAACGTCAAACAAATGTAATATTTGCTTAAATGCGGTATATATTTTTCTGTGTATAGAAACGGGCATTGATCGTACAAGCGCATCAACAACGACAAAAGCCACAACACCGGGGAATAAACGAACAAAGCGTGCAAGCGTGCATCGTCCGCGGGCACTCACCGCTGCCGCTGCCTGTTGCTGCTGAAGGGCGAGATGCTGCTTGGCCAGGAGGTCAGCCTGAGCATTGATCGACGGATATCCGGCGGCGGCGCCATCGTACGGCGGTGGCGGTAGCATCATTGGCACGAGGGGCGGTTGCAGGTTCATGGCGGCCAGAGCGTGGGCGTTCAACCCTAACGGCAGGCCCATCATCCCCATCATCAGTCCCGGATACTGCTGCAGCTGATGCTGCAGCTGCGACGCCGCCATTGCGTTCAGCGCGGCCTGCATTTCCGACATTTGTTGCACCAGCGTGAGCTGAGCGTGCTGCTGCTGTTGCTGCTGTGATTGCGGCTGCATCTGTTGTTGCTGATGTTGCTGCTGCTGCTGCTGAACGTGATGCTGCGGGTTGGCGGACATCGCAGTGGTGGAGTCCGTGCTCGAGACGGGAGTGTTGCTCAACGCCGGGGTGGTCGCCGGCGTGGTGGATGTGGCTTCGGGGGTCCGGCTCACGCGCTCCTTGCCGTCGTTCTCCTCCTTCTCCTTGTCGCGCGACTCCTTGTCGGCCGAGCTGAGATCCTGCGGCTGTGCGGCGGGTGTCGAGCTGCGCGGCGCGGTGGTGGTCGACGAGGAGGTCGCGGCGGTCACCACGACGCTCTTCTTCTCGTACTCGCACTTGATGTGCTGGGCGTACTTCTCGAGGAACTCGTGCGGCACGAGGTCGCGATGCACCTCTTCGCAGTGCGCCTTGAGCACCCAGATACCGCTGAACTCCTTGTTGCAGTGCTGACAGGTGCTGACGGTGGTCTCGTTCCTGACCCCGTGGTTGGTGTGCTCCTCGGCCTCCTTCTCGCGCTCCTGCGCCGCCTGAGCGGCCAGAGCCTGCTTCTGCTGCTCCTGCTTCTGTTGCTCCTGCTGCGCCTGGAGCGCGGCCGCCACCTCCTCCTCCTTCTGCTGCCGTCTCTGGTGATTCTCGTTGAACTGCATCACGAGGTCGAAGCCGAAGCTCTCCAGCAGATGCTTGTACATCTGCGAGGTCCTGTGCCGGGGCTGCGAGAGGATGTCCTGGGAGGAGTGCTGAACGCTCTGCTGCACGTCCGGCCCGGGCGTCGTCGACGCGGGCGGCGGAGTCTTGGCCGGGGTGGCCAGCTGCTGCGACGCCGCCAGTTGCTGAAACAACGCCAGCGGGTTGCTGAGGATGCAGTAGAGCTGCTGGTGCGTAGTAAGTTGCTCCTGATTGACGAAGAGGGCGCTGCAGCGCGGACAGGAGAGCATCCCGCCGGCCGTGTTGCCGGGGTTCGCGGTGACGGGCGGGCTGTTCGGGCTGCACGGCGGCGGTTGCTCGATCAACGGCCGAGCGAGGTCCACCTGGCCGCTGGCGGCGAGGTCCGGCAGCTTGCTCGCGCGCGTCTGATGGAACACGCTCCTCATGTGGATGTCCAGGGTGCTGCCCTGCGAGTAAGCGACCTTGCAGATGTTGCACTTGTACGGCTTCTTGTCCTGGTCCTGCTGCGAGTCGGGCGACTCGGTCGGACTGGCCGGCGGCACCACGGAGATCAGCGTGTTGTTGTTACCCTGCTCCTGCATCGCCCGCTTCAGCTTGTGCAGATGGCTCACGCTGTTGTAGTGCACCAGCAGTATGTTCTTCTGCGTGAAGCTCTCCTTGCAGACGTCGCACTTGTACGGCCGGTTCGGGTCGAGGTACTTCTCCATCGGGTAAGACATCTTCTCGCCCTTGCGGTGCAGCAGGGTCTTGTTGTGGCCGCTGAGGTAGCTCTGCCGGGTGAAGGCGACCTTGCACCGGTGACACTTGAACTTCCGCAGGGGGTCGTGGTAGGTGTCCTCGGCGACCTGCGGACTGTTCAGGTAATCCTCCAGCAGACGTTGCTCCTTGTGCAACGGCGACGAGTCGCTGGCGTCGCTCTCCTCCTCGTCGCCCCTGCCGGCCTCGTCCTCGGCGTTCTGCTCGCCCTGCTTCCTCAGCATCTCCTCCGTGAACGCCTGGAGCAGCGGGTGCACGTGGATCAGGCTCTGCTTGCACTGAGCCATCTCGTCCTCGTGGAGGTCCGCGTGCGCCGACTCCAGGTGTCTCTGGAGCGCCTGCACCGAGCGGAAGGATCGCGCGCACAGCGCGCACTTGGTCGCGTCCCTGATGGCGTGGTACTGCGAGTGCTGCTGCAGCTTCTCCAGGGTCTTGAACGCCAGGCTGCACTGTCCGCACCGGTACTTGTACACGTGCTTCTCGCTGACCGCCAGCGTCGGCGTAGCGGCCGGATGCGCCTCCCGGTGGTGTTGCTGCAGCTCCTCGATGGAGCGGCACACCCGGCCGCACACGGTGCACCTCGTGATCTCCTCGACCTCGTCGTTGCCGACCCCCCGCTCGCTCAGCTCCTCCTCTTGCTGCGGCTTCGCCATCGTCGTGGGCGACGTCGGCGTCGTCACGGCCGGCGTCGAGGTGTTGCGCGGGTTGTTGTTCAGCCAGTGGCTCTGATCCACCAACAGCAACAGCCTCTGCAGACCGTCCGCGTTCACGGAGTGGATCTGCATCACGTGCTTCTCCAGAGCCGGCCGCTCCTTGAAGCTGTCTTGGCACAGCGGACACAGCAAGTCCGGCGTCGGCTCCTCCTTCACCGTCTCCGCCTTCTCCTCCGAATCCTGAACGTGGGCCACCTGCAGATGTTGCCGCAGTTCCTCCCGCGACGTCGGCTGGTACGTGCAGTACAGGCACGCGATGTCCTCCTGATCGTTCTCGGTATCCGCTTCCGGCTCGGGATCGTTGTCCGGTTCTTGCTTCACTTCGCTGCCGCACTCGCTACCCTCCTCCCGCCGTTCTGCAATTAGATGGGAAAACGCCCGTGTCCAGCTAGTCGTAACACTGTGTCTTCTCTCGAGAGAGCAGAAGAAAGGAAGACGAGCGATCGTCGATCGATTCGTTCATTGGAATGAGTTATCGCGACCGAACGAGATCGGTGTTACATAGCGGGAACCAAATATCGACCGGAGTCTACGTGGACGTATGCGAGGTGAATGTCCTAATTAGTGACGAAGTAACCCCCATCTTGAAGATATATTAATAAATTATTCGAATAATACAGGTGTTAAGTACATCACGTTCTCGCAAAACATTCGCATGTTCCCTCAAGGTGGCGAGATGTGTTGTTTCGTTTTACGCGAGGAAAACATGAGATGGGATTCGAATCGACATTGAAACCCCTTCTCTGCAGAGAAGGAACGCTGGATTAAAGTATATAACTCTTCCATCCCTAACTGAGATTGGCATTTTTATAACATTTTCGATTATGCAAATGTTCTAACGCGAGATAAGAACGGAGCATAGCTCACATGATTGTACATCAGACGGTCACTGCGCTCATCGAATTCGCGCGCGCGCAAAAAAGAAGCGAATTTACGATCTGTCTCTTAACAACGAATTTGATTAATTTACGCATGCGTGCGTCTATACCATCGCCAAACCCGTTCGCCGCGGTCGCGACATTTATTCATCGCGATGTATTTTAAATCGCATTTCCCCGGGGGGAGGGGGGAATAAATGACTAATTAAAAAATCGCGCGACGCGTGTATAATCAGCCTCGCTTGTACGTGCGAGAAACGAAAAAGGAGGAGGAGAAGGTGAGAGAGCGAAAGAGATAGAAGAGCAAAAAGAGGCGTTAAGGCCGACTTGTTCGCAACACTTCGCGACACCGTAGAAAATCTCGCAATTACGGTTTTTCGGATAATTACCCTGTTATACCAGAGACGCTCGATCGACTGGCGCAATGCGCGCGTGATTATTTATGCTTCGCGATCGCTGCGATTTGCTACATAATAAATCAGCCTTTTTCATCCTCGGGCCCGGCGCGACTAGTTAAACTTCGGCATTAAGTATTCACAGACGGACGGACGTACGGGCGCGCAGGACACAGTCATCCATTTCGCGCGGCGATTCGTTCCCCGAGACATTAACTCGAAACTCCGCGGGAGAAAGTGAATTGTAAATACCGCTGGTAAACTATGGCAGCGGCGTGCGCGCGAATTTAATGTTCGCGTTCAGTGTCACGTACGACCATCGAGCTCGGCGTTTCCCAGTCGACGTTAGTCCAGACTTACAATAGGAGCACACGGTAAAAAATATTTTGCACTCGTGGTAAAATCGGCCTTCGTGATCATTTGTGTGTTGATTCCTTAATACACTCGTGTGCGTTAATTTAACATATCGTGTCTGTGTTGAGTCGAGATAGTGTTGAAACAACACATTTTGTATTTCAACCTACCTACAATCATAGATATATGTGTATATCGTAAATATCAATGTTCTCATATCACGTTGCTAGATTGTTGGCGGGCCGCGAAGTGTTAAATTCTAGGAACTGCCGGGGACGCTTTTTGCTGGAAATTACGTTACAGTTTGGTGCGTTTAGAGCAGAAGGCTGAAAGGGTTTCCCACTACCTATTGTAGATCCGGACGCATCGAATTAATCGGAAAGCTCCTCGCGTGTCTGTGCGTATTCAGCGCATGCGCGCCGGACATGGTGATTGTCCATCAGGCCGCTTTTTTTCGGCGCGCGAAACGCCGCGGGACGGAAGGATTTGCGCAAGCGAGCGAATGCGTAACGCGTCGCGGAGAGAAAGTCTTCCGGCGATGCGCGGCATCCGAGTGGAGGAAGAAAAAGGCGGAGGTGAGGCCGGGACGGGCTGCACGCAGATGCTCTCGTGCCTCGCAACAATAATATGTCAAATTACAGATTGGCGACACCGAATTACACCGGCCGGCGGTTTCCTACGAGCGAGAGAGCGAGAAAGAAAGGAAAAGAGGAAAAGAAGGAGGAGAGAGAGAGGGAGGGAGGCGAAAGAAGAAGAGGACGATGGATGGTAGAGAGAATGGCAAAACCCGCCTCTATAAGCATCGTGCGGCATTGTTCGAAAGCACACTTGGATCGTGCCGGCGTCAGTTGCGATCGTCGTAACGCAACGGAGCAACGCGTGCTGCTGGTTTCACCTCGCTCCTCCACGTATATTTATGTAAGTACAGTCCGCGCCGATATAATAACACGCGGTATTGTGCGCGCCGCACCGCCGGTGGCACACGCCACCGCCATATGCCGCGCGAAATTACCGTCATCGTCGGCTAATTGCGAGATAATAAAATGATGAGACCAGTGAATTCATTAAAAGCGTAGAGGGTAGAGGGTAGAGTTTCGCGAACTTTTGCGAACTACTGTTTTCTTATTTTTTCCTTCCTTCGGTCGCAAGAAATTCCCCGTGTTTTCTTCGTGACGCGTTTCTCCGCTTTTGCCGGACGATCGGTCCGAAATTTCAATCGTCGCGCCTAACGTCCGGCTCTTCGCTCTTACCGCAGCCTTTTTATTTATTTCTTTTAAAGATTTGAGTACCTTTTGCAATCGAAGATCGTCGCGTTGGCTACCGTTTCTTTCGGACGGATGAGAAGCGTCGCTTCTTTTGAGGAAAGAATTGTCAAATACTTCGATACCGCTCGCCATTCGAATAGGAAGATAAAAGGCGAGCGGCAGCCAAACGTTTGTGTCGGAGTGAAACAATATTTAATGAGAAGAAAGTTTTCACGTTTAATAAATGAACGTTTCGGTAGCAATCCTGGATTGTCCCAATTTGGATTCTCTCGTACACAATGTGAAAATTTTATGAAAATTTACGCTGTAGTAACGCTTGTTTTTAAAACCCAAATAAAGAGAACATGACAAGCCCGTTAAAGTGTAAGAATAAGATGCTTACTACGTCAGAAAGTGAAATGGATGTCCAGTCTATCAATAAAATGTAGATTACCTTTAAAATTGAAAAGAGGAAAACGGAGAAAATGGATAAATAAAATTATATAATAGGCGTTAAAAGTGTAAGATATGAAGAGAAAATAAGTTTGTCAGGCATAATTATTTCAATCTGTTAACAATGAAAAGCACGGTAAAATGAGACATTCGTCAATAGAACCAACAAATAGGCAGTCGATGTATTTAATGTGACAAAGTTTATATAGATAAATATCATGAAGCATTCGTGTATTAACCCTTAGCTGACACACGTCAAAATAATAACGTACGTGCTATAGGGGGTATTTTGGACCCCAGCGAGAAAAAATGTGTATAATTGTTTTATTTATCAATATTGGGTCAAGCCTCGACTAATACTAGGTGACGCCACAGAACCAAATTTGGCGCGCAGCTATGAAAAATTTGCGTTCAAAAACACTCTGGGGTACTTTTAACCCCGTGTGTCAGCTAAAGGTTAAGATAACAACAAGCAAAATTGAGAGAAAATAACGTTTATTAAATGCAAACACGTTGTTTTCGTTAAATATTGTTTCGTTCTAACATTAACTTTTGGCTCCTACTTGTCTTTCATTCTCCTATTTGATTGTACGCCTCACCATTGTCGGCATTCGTTCGACATCGTCGAACGATCCTTGCCTTCGAAGGTTCACTTGGTTCGTAATCGCGTAATCCGCTATTTTACATCGGGAATACTATCGCTTTTCAGATTCAGCTCGATCACTCGTCCGCCGTATCGGGCGACTCGCCTCGTTAAATCATCTCAGCTCACCATTGTTGGCGCTCGCGGCGTTCGGCGTGGTCGGGCTGGAGCGTTGCGTCGACGGCACGTCGGGGTCGCTCATCACCTGGAACACGTCGCCGATGTCGGTGTGCGGGGTCTCGTTCCCTTGGAAGCTGTTCCGTCGCTGGAGCTGGTGCAGCTGCTCCATCTGAAGGTGACGCAGCGATCTGACGTGCTGCAGCAGCTGCAACCGGTGTCGCGCGCTGAACGCGCACAGGGCGCAGTGATAGAGTTTGCCGGGCGATTGGATGCTGTTGCTGGTCTCGATGAGATGGCGCAGCAGGAGCGCCGCGGCCTCGTGTCTGGGCGAGGCCGCGTGCAGGGCCAGCTTGTGGGCGCTGTTGGTGTAATAGTCGCAGGCGTGGCAGCGCAACTGGGCAGCGCTGGTCGGCGACGCCAGGTACTTGAGCTTCCACTCGTTCCGCGGGCCGCCCTCCTTCACGTGGTTCACGTGCTGCAGACGCTGCAGGTGTTTGTCGGTCTTGCAGTGCAGCTGAAAGTTCGCCTTCAGGTTGGTCTTGTAGGAGCAGAGCTTGCAGACGAAATGCCCGGCGACGACCGCGAGGATCTCGCCCTCGCGGGTCCTCGTGCGGTCGGCGCCCAAGTGATGGCCGAGAGCGTCCAACGAGTCCGTGGCGAAGTTGTTGCAGACGCAGCAGTGATAGAGATGCGCGGGGTCCGGGTCGGCGGGCTCCGGCGGCGGCTCCATGCTGTCCGGCGACAGGCCGATGTCGCCGCCGAGGTTGCTCATCGCGCCGATGCTCGCGATGCCGCCCATCAGCTCGGGCGGCAGCTGCGGCGGCAACTGGCCGCCGGTCATCATCTGTATGAGCAGCGCCTGGTTGTAGGCCATGTCGGCCAGGGCCGCCTCGGCGTGCTGCGGCTTGTCCAAGCCGCCGAGGTGCAGCAACTGCTCGAGCTGCTGGTGCTGCTGCTGGGCCTGCTGGTGGTGGTGCTGGGCCTGCTGGTGGTGGGACAGGGCCGACAGGGTCTGCATGTGCTTCACGTTCTGCTGCAGCACCAGCATGTTGTGCGTGTGCTTCTCGCTGGTCATGTGTATCCTCAGATTGCGCGCGACGTTCGTCTCGTAGTTGCAGACGTCGCAGCGAAAGGTGGGCTTCGGCTTGCTCTGATTGCCGCCCGGAGCCGCGAGGTGCGGGCTGTGATTCTGCTGGTGGTGGGGGCTCCGCGTCGGCAGCGGCGCGTCCTGCGACGACGAGGGGTTGCTGCTGCCGGAGCCACCCCCGCCGCCTTGCTGCAGCTCCTGCATGTTGTTCAGGTGCTTGTCGCTCTGCATGTGTATGCTGAGGTTGCCCTTCGTCGTGGTCGAGTAATTGCACACTTCGCATCTGTACGGCTTGTAGCCGCAGGTGTAGGTCTCGCCGCGCGCTAACCTCGGGTGGGGCTGCCCGGCGATGCAGTAGATGCAGGAGGTCTCGCTGTCCGGGTGCTTCTCCTTCATGTGTATCTCGAGGGTCTCCTGATACTTGTAGTGCCAGTTACACTTGGGACACTTGAGGGTCTTGCAGGAGTTCCGGCTGTGGATGCCGGCGAGCATCCCGCCGGGAGGGTGTCGGTTCAGTATCAGCTCGCACTTCGGGCACTCCACCCCGCTCGGTCTGCCCTGCATGTGCTCCGGACAGACGCCTATCGTCGTGCCGGTGAGAAAGTTCGGCGGCTGTTGCGTGAGAGCGACGTACGAAGACGGGGATCCCTTGGTGGAGGAGCTCGACGGCGGCGGGGAGGTGTAGTGCATCGCGTCGGACGCCTTCGCCCAGGAGGCCGCGCTCACCTGCGCGCCTGCGCTCATCCACTGGTGCTGCTGCTGCTGTTGCTGATGATTGTACGCGAGCGGATGACTCGAGTGCGAGGTGGGCGTGGTGGGGGTGCTCGGCGAGGGCCGTTGCTGGTGCGACTGCTGCTGCTGCTGCTGAGGACTGCTCGGTACACCGGGGGTGCTCGCCGGCGTGCTCGTCGTCGTCGGTGTCTCGTTCTCCATGGACTCGTTTCTCTGTTGTTGCTGCTGCTGCTGATTCTGCACGGGCGACACCTGGGCGCAGGTCGAGCTCGTGACAGGTTCGAGGAAACTGACCAGCGGCTGCTTTCCCCTGCCCACGGCCTGTATGATGGCCGACGCGGTCGAGTGAGAGAGTATCTGCCGTTCGTCCTCCATCAGGGTGAGCTGGTGCTCGCCCTGGGCGTGGGCGACGAAACTCTTGGCGTAGCCGAAACTGAGCTTGCATATGAAACACATTAGAATAGGCTTGACAGGTACCGAGGCGGCAGGCGGCGGTGGCACCGCGGCCGCCGGGGGTGGTTGCTTGCTGCCTTCCGCGCTCCTGTAACTGATCACCCGATAACTGTGCATCACCGGAAGATCGGGATTGTGCTGCTGGACCGCGGAGCGTTGCTGCTGCTGTTGCTGCTGCTGGTAGGCGGTCGCCTGTTGCGCGTACAGCCGCGACACGTAGAACGCGCTCGCGATATGTGGGAAAACTACAGTGTGAGGAACCGATACACCGCGCCCGTCCACGATACAGCCGTCCGGCAACGAGTCGTCCTCGCTGAGCTCGCTCTCGCCCTCGATGATGTAGGCCGACCCGTCCGGGTTGTAGACGATCTTACCGTCGAACTTCTCCACGTCGCCGCCCGTCGGGCTCGGGCTCGGACTCGGACCCTGCTGTTGTTGTTGTTGCTGCTGCTGCGACTGCATCGTCATGGTAGTGGTGGTGGTGGTGGTGGTGTCCGCGATCGGCGTCGGTGTCGGTATCGCGTCGCGGGTGCAGGGTTCCGTGCCCGAGGGTGGACTAGCCGTGCGGGGGTGATGGGGCTGGTGAAGAGCAGCCCCAGCCGCCGGGGGGGACCCACCCCCGCGGCCCCCCTCCTCCTCCGGGCTCATCTCCTGCTTCTGCTGCGCGTACGTGGAATTTTGAAAGGGTACGCCGTGTTGCTGCTGGCGCTGTTGCTGTTGCTGATGATGGGCCGCCACCAGCTGCTGATAGAGCTGATGCTGCCCGATCGCGCTCGACGTGTGTTGCTGTAGGTGCGAGGGAGGAATGTTGTGGTGTTGAAGGTGGTACTGGGGGGGATGGGGCTCACTGGAGGGCATCACCCCAAACGTGAGGCGGGCGCCAGCCTCACATCACCTACGGCGCCTGCGTCTGCGCTCTCCGGACTGCCTCTTCTTCTTCTTCTCCCGCGCTTCGTTGCGCTCACCCGCGTCCTCGCCGAGTGCCTCCCCGTCTTATCCTTCTCGTCGCCAGCGAGATACGGTTTACTAGCTACTCCGACGCAAGCCCAGGTCGTACCTGCAACATCGAACAAACAGGGGGGTGGATCGTTAGCGCCGGCGTTTCACGTCGAGGTGTCGCGAGAAAACGTCTCTTGTATCGAAATATCGCCGGACCGATGTTCGCCGTCCGGCCGCGAGAGAGACTAGTTAGAGAAGCCCGTGAGAGAATCAATTCAGACGGGCTATTTAGGCCCGTCGTCTAGTCGGTTAATCCGGACAAACAGCGTTCCCGAGGACGGCCGAAAGATAGCGAACCGCGTGTGCAAGCTGCGTGTGCGGAGGATCGCGCAGGAGAAGACGGCGGGTAGGTACACAAAGCCGCGACGGAGAGAATCCGACACAACGGCTCGTTGTGTTCGGATTACCCAGCTGTGTTTGCGATCGATCGCCCGGGCTTATCTGTCCATGGTATATCGACGTTTCCGTTCGCGCGCGCGGTCAGCGCGAGGAAAGGATGCTGAATGGCGAATCGTTTCTATGAATGCCCGCCTGTATATACGATCGGGCATTTTTCGTCGCGTCTCTCCCGCAGAAAGAGCGAAGTCTCCTCCTCCTTTATCGAGCCGGAGTTTTCCTTCATATTGCGCGCTATGAAATGGAGCATTGTTCGCCTTCGCAAATAATCGCATCGCTCCGTTCGCGGAATTAACTCCTTCCTCGTGCGCGACGCGTCCGTAAACCCTCCCCGCGAAGACAATACGCGTTCCTGCTTCGCCGAGAAGTCCTTCGAATCGGCTCACGCGTTGCCGAAGGCTGACCGAACGAACGCACGCGAGTCCTCTCCGCTTCTTCTCCAACGAGAGCCGATGAATATTACTTGTTTCAAATATTTCACAAGTTCATACATCCGCAAATACTACAATCACAGGTCTGTCATAGCATCAGATTTCATCAAAATATATCCTGAATCCTAGTGACTTTAGTATTCGATCGAGAATATTATATTAAAACAAATTTCGGTTTGCTTATTCAAGTGAATTGAATTGAATTTTTTTTATTGAGGATAACTTAAAAGGAAAAAATTAATAGAGTGATCACTTTCCTTAACAGGATTAGAATGATATTTTTCTCTGTGTACGTACAAACTGCAAGATTTCTGTATCAAATAAATGTTTACGCTAATCGACATCTAGAGGATGATAGTTTTGAAATTTATAATCGAATTCTCTCACATATCAGGTAATCTTCCAATTCATTTTCGCGCGTACTTTCACTGTGTAGGAGCATTCGTATATATAATCCCGTGCGGTCAATGCACGTAAACTTTGCGGAAAGCAGAACAGGGTAGGTATTTAGCCAAGTTTTCAAGCATATATCCCTTTTTAAACGTTTCCTTGTGCGCGGTATGTCCATCCCCTAAAACCATCGAGTACATCGTCGTCGTCGTCGTCGGTCGCTTTGATTACCATGTAGGGAATAACGCGTTCGGCAACGTAATCCACGTTTCTACTGAAACGTGCGCGATGATATGAACTCCTGCCGGGAGCGATAGAAGGAGAAACAGAGAGAAAAAGAGAAAGACAGAGAGATAGAGAGAGAGAGAGAGGTGGGCAGAGATGCGCAGGACTCTAATAATCTAATCCCAATTACGCGGAATCGCGGTCTCGAATCAACTCGTCGTGAGTAGGAGGCCGGCCGCAAGCATTCACGGAATCTAACGGATTAAAGATGAGCCGAGTGGGTGTACACGGGGGATTTATGCGCCGGCTCTCGCGTGCGTGTGCACGGGGGTGTGGAGCAGCGTGACGACCGAGCGTCCGAACGAAGAGCAGAATGTATCCTATCCTGCGGAAGAAGAAGCCTGGAACGACCCCTCCCTCTCTCCCTCCCTCCCTCCCTATCCCTCTCCCTCTCTTCCTGCTCTCTTGATCGCCCTCTTCTCGCCCGTTGGCCGCGAGCAGTATCGCCGGACATTATGGTATATACGCGTATACACGCGGCATTACGTAGCTCCCTTCCTCACCCTGTGCATTCTCCTCCTCCTCCCCCCCTCTCTCTCCCTCCTCCTTCTCATCGACCCGCGCCATCACCACAGTTATAATTCCGCGGTGCAAACTCCATAATCTAGTCACCGTATCCCCCGGCATCTCTTTCTCGAGCGATACCGCTTTTATAATGCGTGAGGTACGCGCCGGCCGCCGCGATCGTTCCCTCGGATTATCATCGATCGATACCGCCAATCCTAGGCGAATCCTTCCTCTCTGCCTCCGATGCCCAATCACCGCGCTGCGCCGCGCGGAGAAACGCTCCGCGATCCGATAAAACGGATGCCCGCCTGCCCCCTCGACGGCGCTCATTAGGACGAAATCGTACGCGTTCAGGGATATAATTGCGCGTAGCGTACGGATTGTCGATGTTAAACGAGCGCGCGGGGGAGGGGGTAGGCACATATGCATCCTCGGCGTGCAAGTGCGAGAAAGACGCGGCGAAAACGTTGCTCCGCGCTTCTCCAGACGTCCACGCGATACGATCGCTTGTTACTCTTCCGTCCAAGACGACGGCAATTTCACGAGTTCGTAGTTCGTCAACTATTTCGTTCGTCGTTTCGCTGCTGAGAGTCTTGATATTTATTTCATCCCAGAATGCTGAGTCTTTGCTTTAAGTTTGTACTCCAATATTAATTTCAATGATATTGCTATTAAATCAAGAAGATTGAATCAATTTATACGCGCTGTTGCAAATTTTGTTAATCCAACAGCATTTTCTTCCGTGCAAGATTATGTATTCTCACATAAATGAGAATATATAAATATTAATTCGAATTGATATGAATTTTTTCCGTGTACGTCTTGAAAAACGTATGGTGACAGAAAATGGAAAGAACTCGAAAACTGTGTAATGCGTCACATTATATTCGCGAAATATAAAGCAACTTGGATATTGGTGGGATGAAAAGGAGGCCAGAGGAAAGAGGAGGGTTCGTTAAAAAAATATCCGCGTCTCGGAGAGGCACGTTAGTATTCTAGGGTTAACGAGATAAAAGGGTTCAGTTCGATATCGTGTGCGCAATCCACATCGATACGTTATCATACTCGGCGTATGAGTGCGCGTGCCTGTGCGTGCCCGTGTGTGTGTGTGTGTGTGTGTGTGGGCAGGCGGGATATGAAGGAAGAAAAAGAGGAGAAGAAAAACGCGAGGGTAACAACGTCGCGGCATTGTGTAACGAGAAACATCTGCCAATCTGACATCACCTGCCGCCTAGGCTCGCCTATTTCTAGCACGCGCGGCCCGGCAGGACGGCGACAAGCGGCGTTGGTGCGTCCATGTTAGTGGCGTGTGCGGTATCGAACGGCTTTGTTTTCGCGCAGGGCCTAGCCGTAATTAAACGATAGCATCTTAATTGTCTCCCGACCATATTCTACGGAGGCGGCAATTCATGGCCGCGCGTTCGTTTTCGAGGGTGGAGAGCTCGACTCTTTCTCTCTCTCTCTTTCTGCATACGGCTCGCGCGTCTCATCGCGCAGTCACGACCCTCACGTCTGCACGCGCAAGAGCGCGAGCAGAAGATTCGTCGAAGCTATCGTGGAGAGAGCTGTCTCTCTCGAAGAGAGAGGAAAAAGAAGAAAAAATCGTCCGGAACTATCTTTTGCGGTATATATATATATATATATATATATATATAAATAGATATCACCGGAAACGAGTACGACACGTCACCGTTTTAATTTTATCCAACGCGCCCCGTTCGAGCTGCGACGACATATAGCGCAAAAATCTTCCTACGAGGTGTGTACACATTCGATTGCGATAAAAGACGATATCGGAGTCCGCAAATATATCTCCAAGAGAGAGAGAGAGAGAGAGAGAGAGGCAAACGGAAGTGAAGGAGCGGAACAGCCGAGCGCGATGGATCTACGAGCGCGTAACAGCGGGCGATACCGCGAAGTCAGACATAATTATAACTTTGGAGAAAGTCGAGGACGATCACAGGTGGCTGATGAGTGTTCAATAGTGGAAAAGGGAAGCGCATGACATAATGCTGCGGGAAGAAAGACGAGAGAGGGCACACGGGGTGGCGGGCACTGACGGCTTGGCCGGGAGGGGACGGCGACGAGGGCGATTCGGCGGAGGGAAGGGACCCCGATGATGGGAGTTAAACGTTCGGCGAAGGAGCGACCGCGAAATCGACGCACCGTGCCCTTTGTTTGTCGCGGTGTTTCGCTCGAAAGTCCCTTTGTATCCCTCCACGGAGGAACGGAGGTAGGAGGCATCCGCGGACCTTTGCGGGGCCCACATGGCGGCGAGCGGTGGGCCTCGGCCCTGCGCGCGTTATTCGGCACGAAATACGCAAGATGCGCGAAATTATGGCTTCTCAATTATCTCGTACGCGTCTCGTTATTTATTGAATATCGTGCCTGCTTATTCCTCAGGCGAACTTGCGTGCCGCAAGAGGAAGAACACGGGTGTCCTCAAAGGGTGACGGGTAGGTAGGTAGGACGGCGGTGGCGGTTTCTCCCTCCCTCTCTCCCCCCCTCTCTCTCTCTCTCATTTCCTTCTCCCTGCGAGTTCCAACACGGTCGCCCGAGAAGATATTGTTCGGCGTTATGGACGCACCGAAAAGCGGAAGTTGTCGAAATTCCGCATCGCGCAAGTGCGACCGCAGACTTTCGCGTGCTCCGAACACGCTCCGCGCGCCAGCGGAATAAACAGGCGTGCCATTAGAGACACCTCGAGGTCCGCGACGACGTCCGGGACTGATGGATCCCCTTTGACCAATTGACGTTATCGAGAAATCCCATTGTACGGGCGCTTTGTTATGCGGCGAATGCGTTTCATACGCACGCACCACTCGAAGCCTCGTCCTTCGCCCGAAGCACAATCATCGAAAGGCTCTTCGTACAACAATTCAATCCTTGGAGTTTCGGCTTTTTATTTTGGAAATTTAGTGTTCTCTCAATACGATGTAAGAGTAAGAGTAACATTTCGTACTTGCGTTGAAGTCAGTTCTTGTTAAAATTGTCGTGTCAAACGTATTCACTTTGTGTTAAATTAGCACAAAAACTTGTAATTTAACAA